CGGCGGGGCCCCCCTGGGGTGTGGTTTTTTTTGGGGGGGGGGGGGGTGAGTCAAGGGCAGCTCGGGTGAGTGCGGAGAATGTTAATCAGTAGAATCGGCCGGGGAGGTGCTGGCATCATGCCCTTGCGGCAGGGCAGGGCGTGAAGCCTGGAGGAGGTTGTGAGATTGTTGAGGCTTTGACCTCAAAACCCCCTTCACCCCGCTGCAGGGCACTCACTGGATGACGAAGCGACGGAGCTCGGGGTTTGCGAGGTCCGTCTGGCAGGCGGCACACAGGCCCGACTGGAGCAAGTGCCGCTGGATGCGGCGGGGGTCAGTGATGAGGGGGGGGACCCCTGCTCGCCAGTCTCGGGACACGTAGGCGGTGTCCACCCTCTCCACGCCCACCAAGGAGATGTCAACCTCTATGAGGGCCAAGGGATAGGGTGCCAGGATCTCCAGGACGGCAGTCAAAACCTCGCCGGCCTGCAGACCACCGGCGGGGGGGACCAGGCGAGCGGAAAGCAGGGGGCGTGCGTCCGCCTCCTGGACCATCATGCTGCGCTTTTCCCTCGCAAGACTGTTTCCTGTGTCAGCTTTGCATTCCTCGGAGCAAGATCGCGTGCCGAACTTCCAAGGGGAGCCGCAGCAGGGGCAGATCACTTGCCCACGCTCCCGTACAAGATCATGCGGTGTGCCGCGCGACGTCTGTATACCTCAATGTTGGGACTCTGAGCGCACAATTGACTGCTATTTTCACTGGACACATTGCAGGGTGCCAGGACGGGGGTAATGGATGGAGTGATAAAACAGTACCACACAATGCAATAAGCAAGTGGTGGAAAAGCTGAACATGGCAGAGGTATACCTTGGGAGGTCAGCACCCTCGTGGATCTTCTGAAAAATGGTCTTGAGGTTGGTCTATCCATAAAATATCTCGCCTGGTGCAGACACTTCCGTAGAGCCATCAGTGACGGTACAAATGGCATTAGTCACCGCGGAGCATGATATATAAGGGATGATTGCAGACGACACCTGGACGGATGTACTCGGAGCAGCAAATGTGCTCGATGCGGAAGCAATCACATTATTGTCTCCATTGTAGAAGGTGCAACTAGCTTCAACGATAGCATATGTTGTTTCCACGTATGCGTCCAGGATGCAGATTGTTCCGTCGGTACGAAAGCCGACATATCCTGTGGGGGCAGCCGGAAGTGGAGGTGGAGATGGTGATGGACTGGGGCTGGGGCTGGGGCTGGGGCTGGAGGGGACGCCTGGGCTGGGTGAGGTGCTGGGACTTGTTGACACGGGATCTGCGACCTCCACAGTGGCGCAATCTGCGGCGACTTCCAAGCCTGCATCTAGCGACGCGTCGCTGCTCGTAGCCCCAGGGACGCGAGAGACGCACCCTGTCCGTGCCTGCATTGAGAGGAGGGAAGGAGAGAGGTTCTTCATGCTTCCATTGGATTGGAGGATGCCAATCCCCCAGGGCCGGTATGCCTCGAGGCCCCTGAAAAGCAAACTCGTATCAAGATCCACTTCAACTCACCGTTGCCAACAGGTTTCCAACAGCTGCCGAGCCTTCGGCAAAGGCGTCCGCCGCCCCGGAGAGGGAGGTGGAGGCAGTGGCACCGGCACTCGTGCTTGCCGACTTTCCAGGTCCAAAACTTGTCCCTTGAAAGCTTCCCAGTGCCGTAGCCGAAGTGTTCCCTCCACTCAGGGCCTGTGTGAGATGTGAGGCCGATTCGTGTGACGGTTGGCTGAAATCCTCACCCTCGATGTTCGAAAACTAAAGACCCCCCAAGAAAGAACCGTGCACCTTGGCTCACCGTGCCACGACCGAATCCGGTCACTGAAGAGTCAGTCAGGGAGCTGGAGCCCTCCAGCCGCGACTCCGCATCGGCGTCGAGCCCCGACGCCGAGACAAACGCAACTCCAGACGCGGAGTAGCCTGATGAGGTTGCGACACCCAGCGTCCCGAACGTGACACCATCCGACTGACCCGCAATGGTGACTTCGCCTTGCAAGGTCCTGTGTGGGTTGGCGATATTCAGGTGCTCGTCAGAGGGAGTCCGGCGTGGGTGTTGTGACCCCCCAAAACGGAAGTAAAGTTTCGATGGATAGGGAGGCCCCGCCCATCATACAACCATGCCGATTTCTTCTTATGCTAGCAATACGTTTACCTGGACGCTGCGACTGTGGAAATCGAGAGGGCTCCTATAAGTATCAGTGTTGCGGCGATGTAGCCGAGTTCGATTCGCGGCATTGCAGCTCTCGACAGTGGAAAGCCGATGGACGGTTGAGGGGACCCGATTGCTCAACAAAGTGCGTATGAAGATTATGAACCGAAATTTTGACTGTTCCTCAGCCAGATAGGCCCTGACAGTTCATCGGCGAGTGGTAGGTCGCAACCCGACCGCCATGAGAATCTATATGGTCCATCCGATGGAACTGCGCACAAAAGTGCGGGTCACTTACAAGATCCACGAAATAGCATTTGGATATCGTTCGGCATGCATAGTACTCAAAATGCCAGATATAGACTCCAGGAGGAGCGAAGGGGGTGACTTCCGTCGGACCGCCGGACGAACCATGGACAGGATGCTGGGAAGCGTTATATGCACGTCCGACAAGGGGGGGGACAGTGCCATGGTACGGGCAGGAGGGTTGGAATGATTGCAAGACAGATTGGAAGAGATGGGGAGCAAGCTTTCGCTGTTCCCATGTTCATGCAACACTGAGTATTGTCTAACAACCCTTTTCGATTCTGGGTGCACGCATGACCTGTACTCTCAATTGAATGCATCGCAGGGCGTCAGCCTCCAGGCAGGTAGCTACGTGTAGAGTTGATAAAATGCTGTTAAAAAGGTACCGCAGTTGCAAGAAGTAATGGTGCAGAGTGGAGCATTACAAAGGGTTACCGTGGAATTCAGCACCTGTTTAAGTATGGTGTCAAGGTGTCCAAAGAGCATCGTAGTGCAACAGGAACATGGGTAGGGCAAGGAGCCGAATAAAGCACGTTAGGTGCGCTCACGGAACCGGTACATGGTCTCGACCTGGTAAGTCAAGATTCATCCTACTAGAATGGCGAGGATAAAGCATCACAACGAAGCTCAGTATGCCTGCATTTCTGTACACCCATTTAGCGGCAGAAGTCCCTCAATCCCAGGCCGTGTGCCCACTCCCCGGCGCTTGGGATGACTGTTGTCCCCGGCCAACAATCTTGGTAGAGCCGGAGGAGGTCACGAGGGCCTTGCGGAGCTCCTGGGGCAGCAGGGAGCAGTGCGGATGGGTCACGACCTTCTGTGCTGACACCCAGCCTGGGAATCGTCCAGACTGCCAACTCAACCATTACCTCCACCATCAACTCAGAAATCAACCTCAGAAGGTGGTTGGGTGTGTAGGGTGTGGGCCAATGGTGCAGTTTTCCTGCGAGCCTTATCATACCTCACGCAGGAACTCCACCAGGGCCACATTCAAGGATGAAATATTTCACTTGGACCGTTGTCGGGACCTAGGCGGATAAGTTGCCATGCTCGAGGTCCGACAGGCTGATGGTTTGAGGCACAGGGATGCGCATGGATGAGGTGTGTTGTGGAGGGTCTGCCTCCTAACGCCCTTATTGAGTGGAACCAGGCTTTTCAGCCGTAGGTGCATGCTCTGGCCTCCAGTTCCATTTTGTAAGTGGTAATCAGGCGGTAAACATGCTTATCAGAAAAAGTATAAAGCGAGGACATTACGGGAGGATGGGGATCGGGCATACCATTGCGAGTAAGATGCTGAGCAGAGGCTGCCTTCCAAAGGTCACTCGTGTATGGTTTTTGTCACCCGAGTCACGACCGAAGAGCTCTGTGGGCCTCCGAGGACGAGACGATCCACCAAAGTCGGGTCTGGTACGTCCACCGTAATGCCGACATAATCCGGTGTCATTTGTGGGGCAAGGTGTGCTCCCCGGATGGTCCCCGGTGTCACAGTTTCCGTTCGACCAGATCCTAAAAGAGGGTGATGATCGAAAAGGGAACGCAAAATTAATTCAACAGGTTGTGCACGAAATCGTTAAAACCCCATCTAACACCAGTGCAATATCTGGCAGACAAGGACATCCCAGCTCGGCGGGGGAGTTCAGTTTGGCAAGATGCCGTCGCACGGACGGATACCTCGTTGGATCGAACTTCTCCTTCTCTTAGGCCTGGCTGTGCTCTCAAACGTAGGTTCGAAAGATCTTGGTTACATGAAAGGTTCTTCTGGAGGGCTGGCAGGGTGATTTACCCAGCCCTGGCTTCTAATGCTGGCAAGACCCCACCCTCCTTCTCCCAGGGCGCGTGCACTTCCAAATTCTTCTCACTCCCGGCAGCCACGTGAGTTGCGAATGGCATACTCGGGTGGTTGTCGTCCCGGCCTGCTTAAACCGAGTGTGCGGCCCTGCTTCTGGATGCCCGGACTTCGCTGCGCGACGCGGCCTCCGGATTGTGTGTACCGACCCC